CTAATGTTTATCTACTTTTAATGGATCTCAGTTGTTAGCTCCCCTATATGAAAATATGGGAAGGAGATCTTAATCTCTTTTGACTTATCAGATTGGCAGGACATTACTAACAATTTGTCAAAAAATTCTATCAACATGATCTTGATAGAATCCCCTCCAGAGTACAAATAGAATAGCGAAAATGTGTCCATCCTAGTCTCTGAATGGTTTTCAATAATGCGGACAGCCAGAAATCATGCAATGTTTGGATAACCTTATCCGTTCAGCTATGGATATAAATTTGGTCTGGTTCCCTGACAGGTCTTTTTCAGAAACTAGATCCTAAGTGGCCTAAACACTTGATTTTATATATAATTTTAGCAGGATAGCGCAGTGTTGGAAGTTGACAATGGTACACATAGATTATGTTAAACATTATTATTATACAGTATTTATAAAGCGCCGATAGTTCGCTCAGCGCTGTACATTACAAAGGGGGACAGAACAAGAACAATACAATGCAATACATGAGGGGATTGAGGGCCCTGCTCTTTCAAGCTTACAATCTAGGAGGGAGGGGGGATGGTGGCACAGGAGGAGATAGCTGTGGGGGATGGAGTGGTAGGAAGAGTGGAGGAGGTCGGCAAGTTAGCAGGGGGTGGGGTAGGCTTCCCTGAAGAGATGGGTTTTCAGGGTGCGCCTAAAGGAGAGGAGAGTAGGTGATAATCTGATGGGTTGGGGCAGGGAGTTCCAGAGGATGGGTGACACCCTGGGGAAGTCCTGGAGGCGGGCATGGGAGGAGGAGACCAGGGAACTAGAGAGAAGGAGGTCTTGTGAGGAGCGGAGTGTGCGTGCTGGGTGGTACTTGGATATTAGGTCAGTTATGTAGCTCGGGGCAGTGTGGTGGACGGCTTTGTACGTCAGTGTTAGGATTTTGAATTTGATCCGTTGCGCAATCGGAAGCTAGTGGAGGGATTGGCAGAGGGGGGTGGAGGAGATGGAGCGGTTGGAAAGGTGAATGAGTCTGGCTGCCGTATTCAGGATCGACTGAAGCAGGGATACCCAGCGGCGAGGCAGGCCAGTAAGGAGGGAGTTGCAGTAATCGAGTCGTGATATGATGAGGGAGTGGATGAGCTGTTTAGTGGTTTCTGGGGTTAGGAATGTGCGGATTTTGGCGATGTTGCGGAGGTGGAGTCTGCACGAGCTTGTTAAAGATTGGACTTGGGGCTGGAAGGATAGGTTGGAGTCCAGAATGACACCAAGTACTCTGGCCTGCGGGGCGGGTTCGATGGTGGCGTTGTTGGACATGATGGAGAAGTCAATGGGGGGTGGTGTCTGGGCTGGGGGGGAAGACAAGAAACTCTGTCTTGGAGAGGTTCAGTTTAAGGAAGTGGAGCGACATCCAGTCAGATATGTCGCTCAGTAGGTGTGTGATTCGGGCAGAGACTGAGGGGGTGAGGTGGGGGGTTGAGAGATAGATTTGTGTGTCGTCGGCATATAGGTGGTAGTTGAAGCCGTGAGAGTGTATGAGTTGGCCAAGGGAGGAGATGTAGATGGAGAAGAGAAGGGGCCCGAGGACGGAGCCTTGAGGGACCCCAACAGAGAGGGGGAGGTGGTAGCATTATAGGTAATGCTGAAAGAGCGTTGTGACAGGTAGGATGAGAGCAGGAGAGAGCAGAATCTCTGAGGCCGAGGAGTGCAGTTTTTTGAGGAGGAGGGGGTGATCGACTGCGTCGAAGGCAGCGGAGAGGTCGAGGAGTAGGAGCACTGAATAGTGGCCATTAGATTTGGCAGGTCGTTGGAGAGTTTGAGTAAGGTAGTTTCGGTGGAGTGTAGGGGACGGAAGCCGGACTGTAGGGGATCGAGGAGGTTGTTGTCGTTGAGGTGAGAGCATAGGTGGGTGTAGACTAGGCGCTCGAGGAGTTTGGATGTAAATGGGAGCAGGGAGATGGGTCTGAGGTTGTTTGGGTCATTGGGGTCCAGGGAGGGCTTTTTAAGTTTGGGGGTGATGTGTGCATGTTTCAGAGTGGAGGGGAAAGTGCCGGAGGAGAGGGAGAGATTAAAGATGTGGGTGAGGGAGCATAGGATGGAGGGGGAGGGAGGTCATAGGAGTTGTGAGGGGATAGGGTCGAGGGGGCAGGTGGTGAGGCGGGCATCAGAGAGGATCTTGGAGACTTCCTCGATGGTAGTAAGGTCAATGGTGTGAAGTGTTGGGGGGGGCTTCAGTATGAGGAATGAAGGGTGGGGTGGAAGTGGAGGTCAGAGCAGTGGTGGGGCCGTGGGAGAGGGGTGATGAGGGGGGGTAGCTGAGTGAGGGGAAACGGTTGGAGGGAGTTTGAGCAGCGACGAAGTCCCTGCGGGTTATGTCGAGGGAGAGGGGGGATGAGGGGGTAGCTGTGTGAGAGAGGACAGGTTGAGAGGGCGTGTGAGTTGCGGCGATGTCCTTGTGAATTGTGTCAATCTTGTTTTTGAAGTGATTGGCAATTTCAAGGGCAGCAAGTGAGGTGCTGGGTGGAGGTGGGGGTGGCGAGAGTAGAGAGTTGAAGGTGGAGAAGAGTCGGCGAGGATTGGAGGAGAGGGGCCTTGATAAGGGTCAGGAAGTAGGCTTGTTTGGCTGCGTGGAGGGAGGAGGTGTAGGTGTGGAAGGCAGATTTTTAGCAGGTGAACGCTTGTTGGGATTTGGTTTTGCGCCATAGTCGCTCCAGGGCACGACTGTGTCGTTTGAGGGTTTTGGTGTGATCAGTCTGCCAGGGCTGGAGCGGTCGGGGTCTGATGTTGCGTGTGGTTAAAGGCGCTAGTGAGACAGCACGTTGTTGTAGGCAGTCATAGCCAAGTCGGGGCAGGACAGGGGGAGGAAGCTGTCGTGGAGTTGATCAGCTGCAGAGTGGAGGGGGGCAGGGTTAACGTTGCGGAGGTTACGGCTGGCAGTAGTGTGACATTTGGAGGGGTAGGCGTTGGAGGACGAGGAGATAGAGAAGGTAATCAGGTTGTGGTCAGAGAGGGAAGGGGGTGTTAGTGAGGTTGTGGGGAGCGCAGCGGTTGGAGAAGACGAGATCAAGGATATTACCATCGGAGTGGGTGGTGGACTGTATGCACTGTGCAAGTGCAAAGGAGGAGGTTAAGTGGAGGAGATGGGATGTGGCCGGGTTGTCGAGGTTGACAGGGATGTTGAAATCCCCAAGGATGATGGTGGGTAGCTCAGAGGAGAGGAAGAAGGGTAGCCAGGAGGAAAAGTCATCCAGGAAGCGGGGTATGAATCCAGGAGGCCGGTATATCACAGCAATCTTCAGGGGGGTTGGGGAGAATAGTCGGACGCAGTGGGCCTCGAAGGAGGAGAAGGATAGGGAGGGGGGGTTTGGGAGGACTCGGAAGGTGCTCTGCGGTGACAGGAGCAGACCAACCCCACCAACATAAATTAAATTGGATTGTGGTGAACGAATAACTCACCTGCACTCTCAATAATAACAATCTCATAAAACATGGGACCTTGAATTAGGCGATATGCCCCTGTGAACTGACATGAAGCTCCATATAATTAAGGAATGTTACTGCATCTTTTCCTGTCTTTCATGCAATTGTCTCTACTGTTTACCTGTGTGTTTATTACAATTTACAAACCGTACAAAAGAGAAAAAGAGAACAAACACAACTGTACAGTTTGTTGGATGAAGGCATTCATCGAAAGACATGCCCCTGATGTCAACATCATCAAGTTTGTCTGGGATTAGATAAAGAGCATATATTCAAAGAAGATATATATATATTTCCTTCAGATGTTTGGAACAATCTACCTTTAAGTAACTACTTTAACTATTTGTAAGTGTACCTAGGAGAACAAGTGCTTTTTAAAGGCACAGGGTGGACACATAAAAAATATTGATTTGATTTATATTTTTTTTTAAGTTAATTGATAAAAAAAACTATCCACTGCAATTGTGCTCTAAAAAAGCATTTCTAGCGGTTAAAGCAATTGCAATGGAATGGCAATCACACAATGAACCATCACAAACAAAATATATTCACCAGAGTTATCCTCAGTAATTAAAACTGACAAAAACATTATAATTCTTTAAAAAAAAAAAAAAAAAGGCTAAGAAGATGCCACATTATTCCTGGAAAAACAAAACATCCTTACAGAATAACAAGCAAGTAATTGTAAAAAGATTGAAATGGTGTCCAGTGTTTAGAACTTTTATTCATTACAAAAAAACATAGGCATGAAATTACATCACATATATCATAAAACAACAGGAAATGCTGATTAGTGCACAAAATAAATCATATCACATCAAAGAAAAGGTATGTCCTTATAATCCGTGATGAGGACATGCATTAAGCTGCACAACTCCTGAGGATTACATTTTGAAATACACAAAAAGGTACTTCAGAACCACATCAGCTCATGATTCATAAACTAAGTGACCCAGGAATAAGGAAAATGTTTTTTTTTTAATTACATGCATGAATGAACTATAGTTTTTCCTTTTACACTATTCAGTCATACTTCCTCAAAATAACATTTCAGGACTCTTTATGCACAACATGTATAAATTTGATAACTGATGTAGGAGTTGAAAATGACAATTTTTTTTTATCTACAGCTGGGAGATTTTATCTGACTTACATTTAAGCTGCTGCAATTATAATTAACATTAACAATACTGTTTCACATAAACATCCCATAAATAATCAATTCTATAATTTTAAAATGTCCTGTTTTTTTTTATTTCAAAGCAAGACCTAAAAAAAACAAGGATCTCCCCTGATTTTTAAAGCTATTTTTAAATGTTTCATCAAAAGTTTCCAAAAATAGGTGTTAATTACAAGCAATTTAAAGATAGCACCTAAAGAATTGTTGTTGTCCATAACTCAATGGAATTATGGGTCCATCATGTTGCAGTGGAGAGGAGATATCCAAGTATATGGTGGTCAGTAAAATGGCTAAAGGTCCTTCAACATACTGGGATATTATGGAAAGTATTTCTCCACCTGCTGTTCAAAGTAGCTGAATGGCAGAGTCATTAAAAGTCAGATGGCTCATAACTATTTTGTGTGATAGTTTCTTTCTCTTCAGAAAGGATCCCATTATTTTCTGTTATCTGGTTATTAGTTGGACTGGACATTCTTGGACGCTTGATGATATGTACATCCTCTGTCCCCTCCAAAAAAGCTCCTGTGCTGAGTGACTTAAGAAGAAAATGGATGTAAAAAATAAGCATATATATATATATATTTTTTTTTTTTTTTTTTTAAATAACAATGCTTTTGATATGTTTTCTTACTCGAGTATTTCTCTTAACAAGTGAAAGAGAAATTGGTGAACTGCTAATATGGTTTCCAGCAAATTGAGCACTGGTGCTCCACTAAGAAAGTCCAGTTTGTACTTCTGGGAAAGACAGCACCCTGCTTCTCTGTTCCTTCTAGCTATCATGGAGGATTGCCTGCCAACATACCAGGGGCTGCTGAGACCTGTAGTCCCACAACACACATCCTGCTGCATGGAAGGAAAGACACAGTCAGCAAGATGTGTTCTTCAGTTCCCGATTCCAGCAAATCTGCTACAACTTGTGCCCTGTTTAGTAAACAATAAACTTGGTAAAAGGGATTCTGCATGTGGCAGAGTTGTCAAACAAAGGCAGAGGAGGCCTGAACCTTTATGGTGATTGTGAAGGCACTTGTGAAGCAACAGGGAGGGTAATTTTCCAGTCATTCCTGATTTATTTCTACCATTTTAGCAGCATTAGCAGTTCACTAACTGGTTTCACTTGTCTGCCACTACTCTTACACAATCGGATTGTGATATATGTTGTTAGTGAATGCATATATAAACAAAGATAAGCTAAATTAATTCTATGAAAGCACCAGTTCAATTCTTTATACAAACCAGCAAACTCCACTGAGTCACAATATAAGAAGCAGGGACACCCGAACCCTTTTTGCACAGACTACCATAGAAAAACTTACCAATCTACATTTCACTCTTTTTGGCAGTGACTCTTCCAATGTAAAGATTTCATTGCGTTTTACCATCAGCTGAGACGCATCATCAAACTCCACCTATATAAAAGTAGATTGATGGAACTGAGAAAGCAACTTGGATAAGTGTCAAAACATCAGCATATTACAAAACAGGTCAGCATATTCCTTAATCACAGGAATGTGATTAACTCTACTAGACAGAAGAAGAAAGTAATTAAACTAAACAGTTAATGGTTAAACAAAACAGTAATGGAAATTGCAAACATCGGTAATTCTAAGCAATGTTTTCATAATTTAGAATAAACCACATGACTAAAACTTATTTTTAATTAAGGACAAAGCAGCGAAGGAATAGAACAGCATGGGTGCTGATATCAGGCAAAATGCCTATAAGGAAAGTATTATAGGCCTAAATGAAGGAGGAAAAGAATCCAGTCACATTTTCACAGATGTCCCTGCTAGACAGATTTAATATTTATCCTAGTGACACCTCATCCAGGGGAATCTTATAGGGGAATCTGGAAATCCTTCTTGCTTTGTAGAGATTTCCTCTCATTTTCTGATGTAGCTGTGAAACGTAAGTAAGAAATCTTCCCAAAGAGGAACAGGCAGCCAAACAAAAAAAACACCAAAATTACAGTAGTTTTGCATTGCAGTGGCAATGTCTGAATGAACACACAATGGATGTCCCCTGCAAGTTCAATGATGGTCACTCCACGTTACAGAAAGTTGACTCGGAACCAAGACTACTACTGGAACCAGCTCTCCTGACCATATCATCATGAGAGGCTTACATTCATTACAACAATTTTACGAATCAAGACATTTCCTGCTACAATCAAGGCCACCCAGATAGTGGGAAGCCATCTTGGATACCCGGTCCGCGCCATCCTAGTGAGCCTCCCTGCTGCTCTCCGAGCCCAGGACACCACCGGAGTGGTGGGGATATACCTTAGAGTGCCGCATAGAACAACCTGCTCCACTGGACCGCCATTCCTCATGACACGCCTGTTATTACTTACTCTTGTGAGTGCATTTTATTATTAAATCTGCCTGCTTTTATTAACTACTACACTTAACAAGTGGTGCCGCTGTCTCTCTTCTCTAGTGTGGAGACAGACGGTTCAGGAACATACTTCCTGGCATTTAGCAAACAACCTAAGCCTGAGAAAAATAGGAATGTGTAAATAAACATCTTGAATGTCGATGGATACCTTTTAGTTGGCCTGGTGAAGGGAGTGGACAACAAAGTGAACGAATTGCATTCAGAATTTTGGAAAGTGTACAAAAACATTAAGAGCCTTGAAGTTCAAATTATGTAAATTTGGATTAAAAAAGTTTTGAACTGTAAACATATGTCAATTTGTGCACTTATTAAAATGATAAAATATTAGAAAATCCAGTGTTATAGGACTAACACTATATAACAAAATATAAAAAAATGTGAGAAAATTATATATAAAGGTGAAATAAATAAAAAGTGATTGCAAGGAGAAAAGTCCCCTTTTAATCCAATATGGTCTCCTTAAGCAATTTCCAAACGATGCAATATCACCAATGCTGCCTGTCACCAGGAATAGTGAATAGGATGCAGGCTTACCAAATGTGTGTTTGGCCCCCTTATTCAGAGAAGTCAACATGAACTCAGTTCAACACAGCCCCAGTCACATCTCTCCATAGCATTCCCAAGAATTTTGCCAGTATGCAATTTAATATTTCATGCAATCCGTATCATGTAAAAAGAGCACATACAGTTGTGTTCAAAATAATAGCAGTCAGACATCACTAACCTGATCAATCACTGTTTTTGGTAGAAATGATATTTCTACATGGCAAATAATTTACTAGCAGGTGTAGTAGAGTAATAGAAATCCAACAGACCCAACAGTCATGACATGCATGCTGCTGATTCTGTAATTGAATCACTAATTAAAAGGGGCATGTACAAAATAATAGCAGTGTGGAGTTCTATTAGTGAGGTCATTCATTCTTTGAAAAACAGGTGGCAATTATTGCCCTTATTTAAGGAAGGAAGGCAGCAAATGTACATGCTGGTTACAGTGCATTTCTCTCTGAAATTCTGAGGAAAATGGGTTGTTCCAGACATTGTTCAGAAGAACAGCGTACCTTGATTAAAAAGTTGATTAAAGAGGGAAAAACATATAAAGAAGTGCAGAAAATGATAGGCTGCTCAGCTAAAATGATTGCAAATGCTTTAAAATGGCAAACAAAACCTGAAAGATGTGGAAGAAAGCAAAAAACTACCATTCAAATGGATAGAAGAATAGCCAAAATGGCAAGGACTCAGCCAACAATCAGCTCCAGGAAGATCAAAGAAGGTCTAAAGTTACCTGTGAGTACTGTTACAATTAGAAGACGCCTATGTGAAGCCAAGTTATCTGCAAGAAGCCCCCGTAAAGTCCCACTGTTGAAAAAAAGACGTGCTGAAGAGGTTACAATTTGCCAAAGAGCACATTGACTGGCCTAAAGAGAAATGGCGCAACATTTTGTGGACTGATGAAAGTAAGATTGTTCTTTTTGGATCTAGTGGCCAGAGACAGTTTGTCAGACGACCCCCAAACACTGAATTCAAGCCACATTACACTGTGAAGACAGTGAAGCATGGTTGCGCAAGCATCATGATATGGGGATGTTTCTCATACTGTGGTGTTAGGCCTATTTATCGCATACCAGGGATCATGGATCAGTTTGAATGCTTCAGAATACTTGAAGAGGTCATGCTGCCTTCTGCTGAAGAGGAAATGCCCTTGAAATGGGTGTTCCTACAAGACAACGACCCCAAACACACCAGTATAAACGTGCAACATCTTGGTTCCAGACCAACAAGATTGACGTTATGGAGTGGCCAGTCCAATCCCCGGATCTTAATCTAAAAGAAAACTTGTCGGGTGGCATCAAAAATGCAGTTTCTGAGGTAAAACCAAGAAATAGAGAAGACCTGTGGAATGTAGTCCAATCATCCTGGGCTGGAATACTTGTTCACAGGTGCCAGAAGTTGGTTGACTCCATGCAACACAGATGTACAGTAGTTCTCAGAAACAGTGCTTATACAACTAAATATTAAGTGATTCAAAGGAAAACAAAATCTTCAAACATTTTTCAGTTTATATAGTGAATGTTTGAGTTTGTAAAGAAGAATACAAACACTGCTATTTTTTTGAACAGTCTAATATTCACTTTTCTTCAATTTGTTTTAGAGAAACAACACCAATTTGATTTATTTTTCTTCATGTTTTGATTTGGAATAGAATGTGTAGTGTTCCCAATGCATTTGTGTGTATGGAAATAAAAGCTATTAGAAGGATTTTGAGCTTTATTCACTTTTTTCAACACACTGCTATTATTTTGAACACAACTGTATATGCTTCACATATCATCAAAAAAAACTATTTAATATAGAACTGTACTTATAAATTCAAATTTCACCGAACACTTTCGTTATATTCAGTGCGAGATGACATCATGGGGCTATGAAAGCAGGCATCTTTCGGGGCTAGGTGTCCCTCCCACGCCATCCAAGCCTCTTTGTGAAGTTGCCTAAGCCTTGTCTTGGATTAGGCATCCCAATGGTAGCCAAGCCTCGATTTGATTTCAAGTCAAACTTCAGTAAACTGCAGATAAATGAGCAATTGTACACATCCAAATCGTGACCATCTTTAAGGATGTTCAAACCTCGCTTTCATATATATGATTAAATACCAACAGAGCCTCTATTTCAGCCCGGCCAGGTTACATTATGAAAGAAAAACCCAGAAGTTCAATCGGCATACAAGAGATTAAAAATAAAAGCATTATGAAACATTAAATCCACAATCAGATCCTGAATTTTCATTTGAAATAAACAGTAAACACGACAACATTAAATCTTGCCGTACCAGAATGGGATTTGAAGACTCCATCAAGTGGTTGTGAACCAAACAACCCCATAATCAATATTTATGTAAAAATTATATAAATGAGAAACAAGAAAAAAAGTATATATTTCTCACTCAAGATGTGGTCCCGTTTACAATATTGAATCCACAGTCAAAAAACACTGTTAAACTTAAACCAATAAAATATAATAAAAAAATTAAATAAAATACCTCTTTCAAAAATTTTTAAACATCTACCTATTTATATCTGTATGCCATAAATTACATACAGAAAAAAAGGAACTCTACAAGGACTAAAAAGATAGGGGTGTCAAGCATTATTCATAAAGGCACTGACATCCCAATCAACAACCCTTAGGTGGGTTACAAGCCCTCAGAAAGGAGATGTTGAATTGGCTGATTTGTTTAAATACTTTACCGAAGCAGGTGTAATTTTTCCAAATTCTTGATTTTGAGGAAACAAGATAAACTCAAGCATTTGGATTTGGAACAAATGTTATAGTTAGGAATATTGATGTTAGTGGTGGGGGGGGGGCTTCAGAAACCCTATTTCCAACCTGAAAGGAAACATACGAGTCACTTGAAAGGAGAGTTGATTATGTGAATCGCTTTGAGGCTAGAGGCAGAAGACCTTCTAGGTCTCCACCTAGGAATCAATGGAATGAAATATCCATGAGTTATGTGAGAAGGCCATCATCTAGGTCCCCCTTTAGAAATAAATAGAAGAGAAACAATCAAAGGGTCGACCTTTCAATAGAGGGGAACAGTCGTGGTATAATGTCTCTACCTTCAATAGATATTTACCAGATAGATATGATCATGGAACCTGGGATCGTCCTGCCTATAATAGAAAACCCTATGAGGTGCCTTAAGATAACAAAAACTACAACGTTCACACGTCAGAGATAAGAAGTGACAGTAAGTGAGATTATTCATCACAGAATAGGAATCCACCAAGATCCCAATCAGGGAGTAAAGAGGTTAGCAGTCCAAGGAGAGGCACCAGAGAGGGGAGAAAATGTCAGTCAAAAAAGAATACAAAAGGAGATGTGGATGAATATTTAATTTGAGTTCTAAAGAATTGACTTCTTAGTAAAAATTGTTTTTAACCACTTCTTGACCGCGCTATAGCTGAATGAAGGCTATGACGTCCTCCCAGAACCTGTCCCCAGCGGCACACAC